GAAGCGGCGGAGAGAAACGGCTACGGCATTGTCCACCGAAGATCGAACTTAATACGTGTACTACCAACTGATTGCCTAAAGTGAAGGAGACGCGTACGATTATAGCCTGTCACTAGGTAAGTGCGCGCCAATTTTCCTGCTTGTTAGCATAATGGGCTTCCACTTATATCGAAATGGCTCGGCTATTCGGATGCACTTAAGACCGTGGCGGCGTAAGAAAATCACGAGGTTCGATATGACACGAAATAAGGAGTACCGATCGGTGAATATTACACGGCTCTTTATGAAAGTAGTCGGTCTCTGGTATGTCGAGACACCGAAAGAAAGATTGCTGTTGCGTGTCGTGTTCGGCTATACTGTTTGGGCGATCGTTTTCGCCATTCTCGTCGAGGGCGTTGATCTGTATCACTGCATAGGTGACTTTTACGTGAGTGACGCAGTGATCGCTTTCGCAGTTCCATCTCGACGGACGTAGAAACAGCACGTTCTTGAATTTATTTTGACGTTTAAAGTATTACTTTAAAATTTACTGTGTGTTATTTTCAGTTGTTAAATTGAGTTATTAAACGTATAAACTAATTAATATCCCCAGTTTTGAAAAAAGTAGTATAGACAATGCAGTTTGAATACAGTTAATAGTAAAGAGTATATGTGTATTTTGTTTATATATATATTTTTTTAATATTTTTTTTTTATTTCGGTGAATTGAAATTGTTATAATTGGAAAAGTATAATTGGAGAGTTCCTGATACTGTACGTGTATACGTGAAAGTATGTATGTAAAAAGTGTACCTTACGTCAAACGAAAATTTTACGTAACAGTTTTCAGTTCACATAATTGCATGTCAAAGAGATTATAAGATATCATGTTTTGTTTTTTATAATTTTATTCTATCTAAAAAATGTTTTTTATGCTGATACTAATATAATATTATAGTAATATTTAACGTTATGTATGAGAATATTTATAGCATAAAAACTGTCATGTGCAAAATACTTCTTAAACAAATAAACAGAAAGCTAACATCATTAATATTATTATTTCCGCAAAATTTTTATTTTTGATGCTTACAACTTTTTTAACACTAAATCTCTCTTTTTTACAATTTCACTAATGTAATTAATTAATTATTTCCCTAATAACGTGCCTGTTATAACAACATTAGCGAAACTATTTTTATGATCTGTTTATTTATGAATTTGCATTCACAGCAGCATTAGAATGTTCATATGAGGGACAAGATTGATTTAATTTTTGGTACTTTTATTACTCATAGGCTGTCACATCCAACTTATGTGCAACGTTGCTCTTGATAATGATACTAGTGAAGCTAGGTAGTTTCATGTTCTATCGTGACATGATAATGGACTTGATTCATTTTGCTGAGAAGAATTTTTGGGGTGTCACTTACGACGAGGCTAGCGCGCAAATTCTAGAAGGATACGACAAACTAGGGATGACTATGATCTACACTTTTACATTTATGGTTTACACCGCGACTTTTAATTACATCTTCGCACCTTTCTTTGGTATAATTTTCTTTTCCGCTTACACTGTACTGGCGAATTGTAATGCTACTTTTCAAACTGTCACGTGAAACGACGCTGTCCAGCGCGTCAAATATTTCTTTGCTGTTTGTAATAGAGCCTCAAGAAAAGAACGAAACGGAGAAAGTTTTACCTTTCAAACTATGGGTCGACTTTCCGTATCACTCACCGTACTACGAAATTACTTACACAATACAGGTAATAAAACAATGTATGAAATGATAAGTTTTACTCAATTCATGTTAATAACTAACAATTTTGTTGATACAATTGATAATTAATTAAATGCTTTTTATTCATTTCTAATAAAAAAAAAATTTTTTGTTAGAATAAGTTATTTAATTATATAAAAGTATTCTTTTAAATTAATAATTGTTAAAGTTGAAGCTCAAGATTGCAATATATATGTTGATCTCTCTATCACTTTTATTGTTTTAAATTAACATTTTTAATTTTTCATATAAAAATTTAATTCGCATTATTTTGGTTACGTTTGTAGTCACTTTCGACGATGCATTCGGGTATCTGTACTTTTTGCTTTGATAATTTTGTAAGTACGTTCAATATTCACGTGGCCGCGCAGCTGAAAATCTTGGCTCATAAAGTGGAAGTCATTGCCGAACATTGTATCGGAGATACGATGGACCAAAAACGTTCGTTGGAAACGGATGTTGCAGTTCTGACGTTCAAGAAATTGCGAGACTGTGTGAAGCAGCACCTCACGCTCATATGTTACGTGCGTAACATGCGACGCGTGTTCGCCATTATATTGCTCGGACAGTTGTTACTTTCCAGTGTAGTCATCTGCTTCGGTGGATTTCAGTTCCTCGTGAGCTTTCGAATTTTACCGCCTCCTTATTTCACGTCCTGCTGTGCTTACTCGTCAGTTAACTCTATTATATTTTCACTGCAGCATTTTCTCAAAGTGAAAAGCAATTAGGTCTGATAAATTCAATTCTGCGCTTAAATAAAATTGAATCTTTCAACTCTTATATTTATTTCCAACGTTTATAATTTTTAAATATAAATATCAGTCTACTGCGCAATTAAAAATTTTAGAAAAATTTCTGAAAATGTTTATGATCATAAAAAACATCAAATTAAAAAAAAAATGATAAACTTCACACTAAAAGAATTGATATTATCTCGTTTTCTAAAATTTTCAGTCTGACATTTTTGTTTGCAGGCGACGGATGTGATTATCAGAAAGTGTATTTTTGCCTTTCATTTCGTGGGCGGTCTTATCCAGCTACTTATTTATACATGGACGTGTAATGATATAATTGTGCAAAGCACAGCTATCTCTGATGCCGCTTACAATTCTAAGTGGTATCTTTTACCCGATAATGATCTAGGAAGGGCAGTGAAGAGAGGGTTAATTACGATCATGATTAGAACACGTCGGCCATGCATATTAACCGCTGGGAATTTCGCAGTTATGTCCTTGGACACTTTCATGGGGGTAAGTGCGACGCAACAAATGACACGGATTTACTGTAAGTTGTAAAAAGCACCGCTATCGGAACCAATTATTTCTTCGTGCAATGCTATACACGGTTCGCACTTTACATTTTTGCTCAGTTGTGAAATAATGTCGATATAAGGATATATATTCGCACTTCAGGCACTTTTCTTATTTAAAGTTATTAGATTAACCCTCATTTAATAACCTTATCTATATGGCACTTAAATTAAAAAGTTTTTTAGTTCTTAAAATGGTCCATCAAACGCTGTTAGATTCCTACTCTTCGGGTAATTTTGCATGGATTAATGTGCTAGAGAGAGAATAAAATTTAAATTTAAAATATTTAAATATAAGAATTATATATATATTCCATTATTATTCGATAGTCGGATTACTTAGATACTCGTGTAGGAAAAACTAGAAGATAAATTGTAAACAATATATAGTAAAAGAAAATTTTTTATATTTTTCTCTTTTTGGCTAAAACAATTTATCTTTACATGATTAATTTATCCTGCTTAATTTTACGCATTTCTGTTTAACATCAATTAATTTAATTACAATCTCGATAGTTATTACTAAATAATTATGACAATATAATATAAATAATAATTTATACTTGCAACAGATATTGAGTACAGCGATGTCGTATTTTACGTTATTACGACAAATGAGTGAAGATGATATATAGTTATAAAATACTTCATAATTCACTTTAAATATCTCATAAAATTCCATATTTTATTTTTAATGAGGTATGTCTAATAAAATTCCAAGTTTAAGGCAGTGAACATTTTGCATCGTTAGAATCTTTTCTGTCGGTAAGTGTGCAATTATATTGAATATCTATATGATATTCACTATTTATGAAAATAAATGTATTTTTATTAAAAATAAAAGGCTATTTTTATTTTAACTTTTGTGTAAAGTATATAATTTTTAAAGTAATAGTTCTTCGTGACTATTATGAATTGTTATACTTACCTTTCTGTCGTAGATATAACAAATGAAAATTAATAATTATTAAAACAATGTTGAATTTTATATTCTAGGGATCGAATTAATTTATATCAATATTATATCAAAATTTACTGAAAAAATACGTAAACGATCAAATAGAATAACAAGATATTGTAGGCAGAAACGGGTTTCAATATTCCATACTGAGCTTTGTATAATCTTCAGAAGATCATTACCCGACCTACGATATAGTGATATGACAATATGTTGAATGTAAATTTTAAGTTACCTAGACATACAATATCTAGAAGATATCTTTAAAATGCTTTTTAGATATTTTTTAGTCCCAATATTCGTCCCAAAAAACGTCTTTATGATATCTTTTTGACGTCTTTTAGATATTGTCTGGGTAGAATTTTTGTATAATCGCATAAAAATTGCGTTGCCATCAGTCGGTATGCTACTCATCTTTGATGCTTCAAGTTTTCAACATACGGAAACAATAAAAAATTATAGGAATTACATATAGTACAATTCAAAACTATATAATCAAAAGATATTATATTTCCAAATTAATATAACACTGTGACTATTTATGTTACAGTAGATAATGACTTATTATTTTTATTTTATGTTATATTTATGGGCATCACTTTTTTATTTGTTCGTATTCTTACTTTCGTTCTTTTAATTTAATATATTTTCTTTTTAGTTAGAAAACTTATATCGTAGTTTCAAGTTTATCGATTTATTTATGTGTTAAGATTAAGTATTAATAACTTAGTAACTTTTTAATGTTTTTCATTAAGAATTCAGATTTTTTAATTCTATTATTTCTAATTTTTAATTTTCCTTAATACTAGGTATATATATATATATCTCTCAAAATTAGCACTCTTTCAATCTGTTTAACAATCATAATTTATTTGTACAAAGTCAAAGTCTATAATACGTAATAATTCTAGAAGGAAAAATACTGTAAAAATAATACAGAATCAATACATTGTACAGCTATTCAACGACGAAATTACGTCTTTTTTTTATAGTGTTCGACGAAGTCTGCGAATGCCTTCATACCAACGCTTTCGAGTTCACTGTAATTAGGAATTTCGGCTTGGATCTTAATAAACCATTTCAGAATGTTGCTATATTTACTCAAATCATAGTCCACAAGCTGCAAAAAGAAAAATATTAAATTGCTAATTTGATGTTATTTTGTTATAATAACTTCCTTGCGAGAAGCTATATTTTTGTTAAAATTTATGTTTTTGATTTTATTTGTCAAATCAAAATATGCACTTGTTTATATATAGCGAAGTGTTATAAACTTACAATAAAGACTTAAAATTAGTATTAAAAAAATAATAATAAATTACAAATAATAAAACTAATATTTAATTTAGAAACAAGAGATGCTTTTTTATGTCTAAATTTATAGACATGCTTTTTTCCCTGCGCTATTTGACTGATTTAATAAATGATTTAATGAATGAGTAGTGTGTTTGTATAAAATTATATAGTTTCCTACCGGAAAATTAGAAACGGAGACGACCAAGGTAATATCAGCGAGAGTTAAAGTTTTTCCCGCTACATAATTTTCGCCTTCCAGGAATTTATTCAAGAGAGACAAGGCTTCGTGCAGTTTATCATATTTTACTTGCTCTGGAGTGATGCCGTTGAATATGATCGGATACTGCGATTAATGTATGTACATACATTATTTACGTGTATCATTTCTATCAATCATAGATATTAAATCTAATTTATGAAGTATTATACGTTCCAAGAATAACTTACGTAATAATCAGCGAACGATCGATACAGAGTTCCCATGTCGAAGTAAAGTTTTTGATCCACCATGGCTCGTTTTTTCGGATCATTTGGGTACAGAGAATCGTTCTTGCCATATCGATTGACCAGATAGGTCATAATTGCGCGGCTGCAAAGCGATGCAAGCGCGTAAATAATTTATTATAATAATAAATAACTGATATTGATTTTACTAAAGAATTTAAAGAAAAATATATGACAAAGACAGTTAGATACAGAAAAATATATTTTTATATATATATATTATAGAAATATATAACAAAATAACAATTAGAATGCGTTTGCCTCTGTACATAAACTATACGTAACTGTCTAACCTGTATCCTTCCATATCTCCTCTTTTATAATCCTTTCTTTTTTTTTATAAATGTAAATAAATTCACGGAGTTTTTGTTGCATGTTCTACAACTTTTATAGAGCGAAAGCTCACTCTAAAGAGTGAAATCTTATTCTTAAAGATTGAAAATTGAGCCAGGCTTTAAAAAGTGTGGTTTAATTTTCATTCTTTAGAGTGAGAATCCATTCTAAAAAATTTAAAGAATAACAACATAAAAATAATTTAATTTAATTTAAGAATTCACTTGTATTTATATTCTTAAATGTTTCATTAAAAAAAATTTTATTATAAATCACCTTAATAAATTCGGGTTTTAGGTGTTCGCCGGCAGAGAGATCCACGTTTTTCACATTTAAATCCACTCCTACAGCTGCCGCCGTTAAAAGAACGGCCCGACATGGCGGACTTCCGGTAAGTTGATAAAGATCAATGGGCATCTTGAAATCTGCGCACGATATGCTATTAATGAAGTGGCGACGATACGCGCTACATTCTTATTATGTTTAAAAGAGTAACTAATTATGCGAGTATAACTAAAAAATAGAAAGAAACGAAGAAGAGTAACCAAAATATCAGACACAATCAGGCAACATTGTCTCAAATAAATCTAATTTACGGAATATATTTTGCGTTAATAAATTAGTCAAAAGAAAACCTGTCAATTATAGGCCACAACGATTATAACGAACCAGTGGACCGTAACTTCACAAATGCACTGGGCAGATATGGAAAATGATTCAGTAAGTTTCTAGGTTCATAAGTTATCGCGTAATGAAGTACGATTAATACACTCGTCGAATTCCAAAAATTATAAGAGTCAACATCGTACACTGTGAATCACAATTATTTGCAATCGTTCAAGTATAGTCACTTCAGTGGTTTTGGTGAATTATTTATGACAGGTAAAGAGAAATGGAAATGAAAAATCACATCCAACCGAACCTGCAGAATGTATTCTTTGGAGATGCGTAGCGAGATTATGACAGACTGTCTAATCAACTTGTTTGTCGGAGCTATATAAATAGTTCGCGAAGTGCCTGTATAACAAGGAATAGTTCTGTATCGCACACATGCAAGAGTGAGATCAATTATCATTGAGAATTCTCCATGCTTACTAGTAGTCTTGTTTGTTTCAAACAAGCTATTTTATTATGCGAGTTACTTCCGCGCGCTTCCTCTTGCATCAGAAAACAATAAACAACAGTTCTGTATTACGTATAATTCAATGTCAGTCGACGATATAAGCGTAGATATCGTGAATACATGAAGAATTGTTATCTCTTACATAAAATCTGCACGATTTAAAAAAAAAATCACAATTTTTATAACTTTGTAACGAAAAAGTATATTGAGACTTATGCAAATTATAATGATTTTTATGGTGTATAATTTGCTAAATCAGTCTAGTTAATTGGTGATTTGCTTCGCTTTTCAATTTCAAAATGAAGATAATTCCCTTTTTTAATTTTTTTTTGCAATAAGAAATACCGTATTTATGTCTTATAATTTTATTATGAAACCTAGCAAAAGTTATAAAAATTAACAATAATAAAATTAAAAACAAGACCATTTATATGAGTATATCACCTAAATGTTGTAAAAATTAAGAATTTATAATAAAACTTAATACAAAAATTTGTTTTTGATTACCTTTTTCACCAATCAATAAAAATTAATTTGATTCACCTCGGTCTACTTTACTTTGCGCGAATCGACTTTTACGATCGCTTAATTGCTTTTGCTTTCTATATTATCATTACGCTTAATTTATTGTCATAAATTAACTATTTCAATATTGAAATGCGAATAATTTTACGTTTGTAGTAGGTACATCTATTCATAAAATTACGCAGCTTACAAGAAAAAGCATTGTTAATAAGTTGATCTTACTTGGATAGAGTTCTGATAAGCGTCGTAAATTTAAATACTCGTTAACTTGATTACGTTGCGATTTATTTTGCAATTCAATCTATCAATATTTTTGATGTATTAGTCTTTTATCGATTAACAATTTGAGGTTCGACGGCACAGAACCGTCGCGTAAGAACATCAGTCTTATTGATATATACCGTCATCTATCATTATTACATGCTGCAACTGTTATCAGGAGACACGGTAATGTCTCGCCGCTAAGAACACACATTATAGGTAAAAAAAGCAAAAACATTGTACATATATATGTTTAAACAGCACAATGTGAACAGCGTAATTAGCCGGTGTGTTTATGGTACAAAATGTCAGTATCATAGCCGTAGTTCGTTGCAGTCAGATGATGTAACAGATATTGTTAACCGGCAAGTGTTAACCGGCGTTAATTAATTCCAGCATGATTCATCATCATGTATAAAATTTGCAAATCATGCTCTTCTTTACACATCATGACGAAACTTTTAACTTTTTAAAGCATTGTTAGATAACTGATTTAAAGTATTGGCACCGTAAAAAAATGACCATGAATAATTATATAGTTACATGTATGAATTATAAATAATACCACATGTTATTTATATCGATTATAAATAATATTATTATAAATTATAAGCAATATCACTTATGGTGATAGATGTGAGACGAGAGCAACATTATTTGATATTAACTTTTTAATAAACAAATATTTTTTACGAATAATAATTCTTTTATAAATAAATTATGTAGGAGGGATTCTTTATAAATCTTTAAACATTTACTTTTAAAAACATTAACTTTACTGTTTATTAAACTCTTCCGAAAATAGAGATAATTACAGTTAGACGTAAATTTTCTATTTTATAAAGTCTGTCAATACGTTTCTTGGAATACAAGGCTACAGATATGCATTTATTTCCATTCTTCTAAAAACTATATAAGTTTTTTATGGTATTTGTACAGAATATTATCTTTTAGAGAAGCCGACGATAGATAACCATTTGATTGCAAATGAAAGCATTAGTCTAAGTGTTTGCAAAGCCTTGAATCTCAAGGTTTCGCCTTCCCACACTAATGTGCATTCGATGTGTTGCGCATAGCATTATAAGCATGCAAAAATGAAATACTCGGAAATTACTGTTAATATATCCGGAGCAATGCTGCGGAAGCGAAATTAAAGCGACTTCGACTAAACTATGATTAGTTTATTCAACATTATGATTTAGTCGATCAGTTGCTTAAATCGTATTTTGCAACATGTTACGAAAAGACTTATAACAAATTAATTTGTTATTGGTAAAAAATTAAACATGTAATAATAGATATCTGAAACATGATGTTGCAATTTTCTATGTTTATTTACGTACAAATCAATGTAAATGAAAAATATAATAAAAATTAATTAAATGATATTCGGTACCTCTCATCTAATCTTATACTTGGAAATGTATCGTATAAAGAACTTTGTGCCATTTGATATTGAATACTTGCAATTGAAAACAACTTTAGACGCGTATTTTTCTATTATATTAATATTATGTATGTTCCAGAAAAAATCCGTAATAATAATAATGCTGAATTTATTGTCATATTCTTTAAAATATGAATATTTTATATTTTTAACGTAAAAATTTTAAATACATAACACGCTACGAAAATACAGTATGCAATATTGTATACTCCTTTTATTTACTGTTCATATTATTTAATTCTGTCATATATGATATATTTTATTCTTACAGTTGTTTTTGTAGTTTTAAATTTATTAATTTATTTTTATGTGTTAAAGTTAATTATTTATAACAGAGCAATACGTTAATATTTCCCAAAATTTACATTTATATATATACATATATATAAATCTGTTTCTTTAATTTTTAATTCTTTTTGTTATAACTAAATATTACATGTCCTTAAATTAGCTCCATTAATCTATTTAACAATGATAATTTATTTATAAAAAAATAAAATCTGTAATATATAAAAATATTGGAAAAATTATTGTAAAAATGTTAAAGCATTGTGATGCATTATACAACTGTTAAATAAATGCTACGATTTTACAATTTTTTTTTAAAGGGTTCAACGAAATCTGCGAATGCCTTCATACCGACACTTTCGATTTCATTGTATTTAGGAGCTTCGGCTTGGATCTTGGAATACCATCTCAGAATGTTGCTGTATTTACTCAAGTCATAGTCCATAAGCTGCAAGAAAAAAAATGTTTATATTGTTAATTTGATGTTTTTTTCATTATAATAATTTGCGAAGTTATATCATCGATAAATCTACGGTTTTGATTTTGTTTATCAAATAATTATTATATATACAGTATGTTGTACAGCGAAGTGTTACAAATCTAAAAACCATAACAATTTACTTAAATGAATATTACAAATAACAATAAAACTAATAAAATTTGATTTTTTAACAAGAAATAATTCTTTTTTATGTCTAAATCTATAGAAATACTTTTTTCTCGCATACTAATTTACTGACTTAAAGAATGTTTTAATGAATCAGTAATGTGTTTGCATAAAACCAGTTTTCTACCTTAAAATTAGAAACAGTGACGACCAAGGTAAGATCAGCGAGAGTTAGAGTTTTTCCCGCTACATAATTTTCTCCTTCTAGGAATTTATCCAAGAAAGATAAGGCATCGTTCATTTTATCGTATGTTGCTTTCTGTGGAGTGGCGCCGGCGAACATTATCGAATACTGCAATTAATACATATACATACTATATATGTGTATTTTATTAAAATATCTCTTCATACAATATTGTAAAAATAGGATTTCGATATCTCGCATAGTTTCAAAAAAATTTAAGTACATTAATTAAAATAAGATACATTGTATATATATGTGTGTGCTGTGTCTGTGTGTATGTATATGATCATTAATTTTATCAATCATATATTAAATATTATAAGATTTAAGGATAACTTACATAATAATCGGAGAATGATTTAAACAGCGTTCCCATGTCGAAGAATAATCTCTGATCAACCAAAGCTCGTTTTTTTGGATCTTTTGGATAGAGAGAATCTTTCTTGCCATATTGATTGGCTAGGTATGTCATAATTGCACGACTGCAAATTGATGCAAGCTCTTAATTAATTAATATCATAATAATATAGAATGTTATTAAATAATTTGTAAATTAAATATTTATTTGCTATGTAGAAATCTGAAATTATAACTCGTTTTGCCTAAATATGAATTCCATACCAAATAAATAAACTTAAAAATATTACAAAGTTGTATACAATTATATATAAAAAGTATATATTTATTTTATGTGCAAAAATCAGACATTTATTAAATGTTAATATAAAAAGTTTAACAGAAAAATACCTTTCATATAAATAAAAGCCACCGTCATCCAATGTAGGTATTGTATGTTGTGGGTTCATCTATTAAGAGCAATACGTATAAAATTACAATTATTTTAAATTATCTTGAAATTTGAAATACATTTTTATTCGATAAGTAAAGTATAAAAACCTAGAAACATAACAGATCTGTTTTTTGATATTTAGAAAAAGTTTAAGAAAAATATGTTTGAAGAATTTTCAGGTCCAATTATAAATTACTATATTTTTCTTCCGACATTATTTTTTTCTCTCTCAAAAAAACGCAAATAAATCCTTGTAGTTTGGACATAACAGTCTTAGATAATTTAATTTCAAGGATTCACTTGTATCTTTAAATGCTTTATTTTGTAAGAAGTTTTATTACGAATTACCTTAATAAATTCAGGTTTTAGGTGCTCGCCGGTAGTGAGATCCACCTTTTTCAGATTTAAATCCACTTCTAAGGCCGCCGCCGTCAAGAGCACGGCCCGACATGGCGGACTTCCAGTAAGTTGGTAAAGATCAATAGGCATCTTGAAATCTGTGGAAATGCACAACACTATTAATAAAGTAGCCACTGTGATCTCTAGCGTGTCGGAAGTATTCGAACGACGCGAAACTGTTTTCGACGGTACATGGGATTTTTCATGTTTAAAAGAACATTGAAAACAGAAAAAAACGAAGAAGAATAATTAAAATATCAGATACAATCTGTTGACATTATCTCATACAAATCTAACTCGAGGCACATAAATTTGCGTTATTAATTAGTTAAAAGCAAACTTGTTAAATTATAGGCCGGAAATTACGGCGACACACCGTAGCGTTACACATTTAACTATACTGAGCAGAACGTGGAAAATAAATCAAAAATTTTATAAATAAAATTTGTTTTATAAAGAATATTTAGAAATTATTGCGTAATAAGAAACGATTTAAGCATTCGCCGAATTACAGTCGTCTTCGAGCACTGTGAATCACGAATATTCGTAATTGTTCAAGTAGTTTTGTCACTCTAGCAGTTTTGGCGAACTATATATAACAAGTAAAAAGAAATGGAAGTGCGCAGTTACAACGGACCAGCAGATTGTATTCTCCAGAAGCGTGTAGCGAGATTATAGTAGACTGACTAGTCAATTTACTTATTCGAGCTATTTATAAAGCCCATGTAACACGAAACAACCTCTGTTTTGCATGTACGTAAGAATGAGATCGATGATCGAGAATGTCGAGGGTTCTCAACGCTTGTTAGTAGTCAAGAGTGTTGCTATTTTCTGCTTTATAGCAATTTCTTCGATTGTTTCAAATGTTCCATTTACATAATAAACAATAATTGTAATTGCATAATAAACAATAAGCAATCTCTTACAATAAGTAAACATGATATTGATATACATTATTAAGGGAGCAGACACCTGGTGGTAAAGAAGTAATACTTTACTTTGTGTGAACTGATCTTACTCATTATTCAAATGCTTTTACTCGTGACGTGACGCTCTTATCATTACGCTTATCTAATTGCACACTGTACAAATATCAGTTAAAAGTTATTGAAATTTATAAACTACAGGTTTTGTAGGTTTATGTTGTCTGAAATATAAAATAAAAATAAATTTACATTACATTTCTAATAACTTCAACTATCGTAAAATAATATAACTTTTAACGTTTTTAAAAAAGGAAATATTTATGGTTAATGTTTTTCCTAATCAACAATTTCCTAGTCAGCATTTTTTGTTTTTTTAATAACCGGCATTAATGTTGGTACGCCCATGATTTGTTTGTGCATAAAAAATTTGCAAGTCATACTTTTCTTTACATGTTTGCATTCATTACATTGCATTCATGAAAAAACCGACTTAATACTAAACCGTTAAAGGTTTAGTATTACCGTTATCAGACGAATGACTCGATCAGATTTGTATCAGTAGCAAAAAAAATAATGTTCAATCTTGTTTTCACTATCATTGGCTACGATATTAACTCTTTGGATCACAAGAATTTTCTATATTACAAAGTCTACAATAAGTAACGTCATAATAGCGAAACACAATGCTACAGACACACACTTATTTTTATTGTTTTAAAGCTCGTGTAAGCTTTACAATTAAAAATTGTAAATCTTATTTAAATGAAATTGCTTTTGTGTGTAAAATACTATCTTTCAAATAACTCAGCAAACAAACTTGATAGCAAATGAAAACATTTGCTATCTTTGCGGCCTTGAATAATACACATTTGATAAATTACGCGTAGTATCGTGCGAATGTAAAGAATGAGAACGATATATTTCGATATCACCGTTAGCATCGGAAACAAAAGCTACGCAAGCAAAAACAATGGTAAAAATGAAAATCAATAATTTTAATAGCCAAGTATAATTCTCTTGAGAAATTAGCGATGAAAGATATTAGCTTTTCTAACAATAAGTTGCAACACAGGCAAATTCCTCTTTCCCATCCTTTCCACTGTTTCTGCATATAATTTTAAATAAACTTTTCGTTTATCCTAAATAATATTTATTTGAGGACTGAATACTAAGATACTTCTGTTTATATATTAAAAAATAAATCCTTAACTTAATATTTGCTAAGAAAGAAAAATACTGCAAATAACCCGTAACTAACTGGAGCATCAAAACATTCTATGTATGCGTTTATACATATATGTTTATGCGCACGATCCTATATACATATATAGCAATTAAACTTTTTTTCCAATTTTATAATAGTTTAATTTTTATGCTTATAAACTGTACACTAACACATTTTTATGTTTAATGATTTTTTGAGAATGAATAATTGTTAGTTAAAACACCAAAGTTTTGTTTAATAGTAATTGTGTTTTTTTAAAAACAAAATATTTTATTCACAATGTTTAAAATACAATAATACTGAAAGACGAAAATTATGAAAAGGTCTGTTGTTTATACTGTTATATCATTATTTGATATAATAAAACGGAGATAATCTCTCTCTCTCTCTCTCTCTCTCTCTCTCTCTCTCTCTCTCTCTCTCTCTCTCTTTCTCTCTCTATGTATATTCATATACAATACAATAGTGTAATTATAAATGACAAATATAACAATCTACATACTTACGATAAAATATTAAAAGTTTTGATAACAACGTCTTATCGCTAGGTGATAATGTTATAATTATGTATTGTTAAAGTTAAAAATATACTTATTAGAAGTAGAGACATTTATATGAGTAACTATATACATTCAACATTCCAATAAATAATATATTATGTTCACAATTTTTTTTATTGCTTCATGTTATGTTTATTTCTTTGACACTCTTACATGCTATATCCATATAATATGATTCTTTAATTACACAATTCTATTATTATTATACAATTCAATAATTATGTACATTAACATATTTATTAATTTAATATTTAATTACTTATATAAAAATAAACGTATTTTTACTTCAACTTTCTGTATGAAGTACATATGATAAAATAATAGTTTTTTATGACCATTATGAGTTGCAACTTGTGTTTTTATCATAGATCAATTGAAGAGTAATCATTATTTAAACAATGTTGTATTTCATATTCCAAGAATTAAATAAATTCCTATTAATTCTGTTAGGTTAAAATTTATTGAACAAAATATACAAATAATTAATTAAAGACAAGATGTTATAAATAAAAGTAGGTTTCCTATAGTAGTGTGTGTGTGTTTGGTAATCTTCAAAAGATCATTACCCGACATATGACACAGATGGGATGACATATGTTGAATGTGAATAATGTAGAATTTTAGTAGTGGCGTTGCCATCAGTCGGCATATTATTCATCTTCGATGCTTTAAATTTCCGATAAAAAAAATAATAGAAATTTAAAAAATTATAAAAAATTATAGGAATTACGTATATAGTACTTATAATTTGAAATCAATCAAAAATGAAGTAATTTTTCCAAATTAATATAACACTAAGACTTATTGTTATAATTATAATATTAATAATTTACTTTTTTATCTTATAATATTATGCATGCAGGCATTACTTCTTCATTTGTTTGTATTCTTATTTTTATATTTATAAAATATATGCAAAAAGTGCAGAAATTTAAATAATATAAAGCGTTTAAAAATCAAAGTACAATCGTTTTAAATATGAGTACTGATAAAAACCTTATGCAATAGATAATCTTTTTTTCTACACAATTACTTGATTAAAATTTAATTGATTACACGCAAACGTTTTATATATTTAACATGTATGTTTAGCTTGAAGATTCGAATTAAAATAATATATTACGTATATTATTCATTTTCTTCTTCTCCTTTTTCTTCTTCTGCTTCTTCTCCTCCTTCTTCTCCTTCTTCTGTGTTGCCTTGTGAAGCTTGAACCATTTGCTTGAACATCTCAACAGGTTCACCATTAACTTTCTCGTATCCAGGCGCAGATGTTTGTATTCTCTCCAACCAGTCAGAAATGTTATTGTATTCTTCCAAATCAAATCCGAAAATCTAACAAACAATAGATTAGTTTTGCAGATCTCAAAATAAGTTCAAAATATGTGATAACTGACAATTGACAACAAAGCAACTAAATCCATATAAAATTACTAATAGGAAAGTAAGAATAATCTTAAAAATATCTACAAAAAAGGAAAACTACATCAAAGAATTAACATGTATCATATTGTCGTTTTAGTTTGTTCTAAAAATAATTGTAGTCGATTAATACTACATAACACTATTAAAATTACCATCGCTGTTGTTACTGACGCAACTAAGGCAAGATCGGCGATCGTTAAATTATCTCCAGCCACGTAAGCTTGTCCTTCAAGATAATTGTTCATGATTTGAAAATTCTCTATTAGTTTTTCATATTGTGCTGGATCACACGTATCGATTTCCTTTCTGAAGACTCTCATCTATGATCATAGAATGTGCAATGATCGGTCACATGCAGTCTCAATACGGTTTGTTTAGAAATAATGAAACGTATACGTACATAACACTCAAATATTGTCGCAAAAAGATTGCCAAGATCGAAATATAATCGTTGATTAACTAAAGCCCGTGCCTCTATATTGCGTGGATATAATGTATCATCCTGGCCATACTGATCGACCAAATAAGCCATAATAGCTCGGCTAAAATATCATTTCTTGATGAAAATAGTAAAATGTATATATATAAATACTATGAGATGAGCTACATGACACTTATTAAGACGCTTCTACAAACCTTTCTGATATTTTAAGATCATCGTCGATTAGAAAAGGAACTGTCTTTTGTGGATTTAACTGAAAATAAAATTATGCTCTTCTAATATTAACAAATATAGTACTTTCCAATAATATTTTATGTTCAAATTACGAAATTATCTGAAGTAGCAGAAGTATTTTTACTTAGTAATATTTAAACACTATTAAATTTTCATACCTCCTCGTATTCCGGTGTCAAATGTTCACCAGCCATCGTGTTCAATACTACCAATTCCATTTCGAGCCCTATTGCCTCTACCACGAGTATAACAGCTCGGGAAGGTGGACTCAGAGGAAAATAATATAATACGGGCATTATTTGTTTTTAAAATAGCTCAATTTGTTCGATTGATATATATAATATTCACGTAGTTTATAATGTGTTCACAAATATTATCTCTTTTTGTTAATTCTAAATTAATAAATATAAAGTATTCGTTTTTTCGCGAAAACAATTGCGTGCACAGATCCAGGTTTGCACGAAGACTGAACAGTTCTGGACTATAACTTTTCATCTAATCGATATACTGCCATGTATTTAAATATTACTGTCAGCCTATAGCTTTGACCTTTATTAGATTTTTATGACGGATAGGCGCAGATAGATGGATAGCTTTACTTACGTTTTTTTTTTAAGATAGGAAACTATAAACAATTATAAAATGCAATTTAAGTAAAATAAAAAAAGAAGCTATATATATATATATATAACACGCATATAATTTAAAAAATATTAAAATTAATTTGAAACCTAATGTAGCATTAATGAATATAAGTTTTAATATCTTTTTGTGCACTGCGCTTGAGTATTATAAATTAAAATGTTTACATAGTCTTATTTTTGTAGTATTTATAACTTCTACAATCATCGACAAAATACGATTGATGCAAGCACAGACTCTTATACTGTAATTGCTATCGTTATTTAAAGAATTGGAAAGAATACGAGCGTAGGAGTCAGGCGCAGAAGACCACGTGTTTTTACATGAAAAATTTTTTACTTAAATTAAACTTTTTCATTTTATACGGCTAACTCTTTAATTTTTTGTGATAATACTTAAATTGAGCAAGGTAACGCAATTTTGTGATAACGTTTTGTATATTATTTCGAAGGATAATTAATAACCACTACTTTAGTTGGAAGAGAAAATGTCTTTGTGAATGAATTGTGATATAATAATTTCATTTAAAAGGAATTTAAATCATTTGGATTGGAATAGGAAAATTCTTCAATAAGATATACGTATACTTAGATTTCATTGTATAAAAATTAAAGATAGTATTATTTGGATTAAGTAAATAAAGAAACGGGATTTAACTTGGCGCTAGCTGTCAAGAGCCAAATCTATCGGTATGTTCGTAAAAAGAGATACAACGTCAAGTGAAATTAAAATAAAATTATCTTCTAATGTTGTTTTACTCAAAACACTAGTCAAATGTAAACTATTTTTTATATAACTAAATGAATTAACACTGACTTTATAAATTATTTTTTGTAAAAAGATTTATATATTATGAACAGTTGTTATAAATATAAAATCTTTAAAATAGTGAAAGAGCTTATACACGAACCGAAAAAGTTGTTGTTTCTGATATAAAGAATCACATTATACATGTCGTACGCGCGAATTCTGTGATATTCTTTATATGTATACAATATAAAATTTTTTTATATATAATAAATAAATAAATCCTAATAGATTAAATAAGAAAAACATTTTTATTAGAATAAAATTTATGACTACATTATTAATTAATTTACTAGTTTTTAAATTTGTTTTGAATATATACGACATAACTTCACGACGGCCGATACGATGGAATTTGCCTGATAACGACATTTCCAGTGGAAAGAAGATTTTAGCTTGGTCGTGAAAACTTTTTGTTTCCGACAAAGCCATGCACAAGCTAGGTCAAGATTCTCTAAGGGCAAACCGTTCATGGAAACTATGCAAAAGTTTTCCTGTTATTAAATGACCAGTAGAGGTGAGAATTCTCAACTTTATACCCATGAAATTTTACGGAGAACATGTATTATCTTTTGTAATATTTTAATTATAACTTTCTTCGGATGTTATAAGGGGTAACTACAAATAGGATATTAACTAATTTTATATTTGGAAACATATAGTGTAAAATAGCACAACTTTTGTGTTATCTGCAATTGTATATATTTATATAGAATTAAAATCAGTTCTTATGTACATAATAATTTTTTATTTAGTTTTATTAGATTAATATGTGTTAAAAAAAAACCCATAGTAATAATCATACTATCGTCATATTCTTTAATTTTTTAAATGTAATATATTTTCTTTATAGGTTTTTTTATACTATAGTTTTAAGTTTATTAATTTATTTATACGTTAAAATTTATTATTATAATAAACAATATTTTAATGTTTTTCAGATTTTTTATTCTATTATCTTTATTTCTTAAGAGTTTTTTGTGAGAACCATATATTCTTTCTAAAAAGTATAAATCTCACTCTGAAAAATGAAATCTCACTTTTAAAGATTGAAAATTGAGCCACTCTGTTTCAAAATTGGCTCAATTCTCAGTCTTTAGAGTAAAATTCCTCGCCAAAGAATTTAGAAGGATACATGCTTTTACATTAGTACTATTTTTAACTGTTTAACAATATATAATAATTTATTTATTTAAATTCGAAATCTATAATATATAAAAATATTGTAAGACAAACTATTATTTCATAAAAATATAAAAGCACTAATGCATTACACAACTGTTAAAACAATATCACGAGATTACTTCTTTTTTCTGGCATTTTCGACAAGTTCTCTGAATGCTTTTATACCTACGCCTTCGACTTCATTGTATTTAGGAGCTTCGGCTTGGATCTTGGCAAACCATCTCAAAATGTTGCTGTATTTACTCAAATCATGATTCACAACCTGCAAGAAAAGAAATGTTAATATTTAAATTGTTAATTCGATGTTATTTTTGCTATAATAATTTACAAAATTATTTCTTTAATAAATTTATATTTTCGATTTTATTTGTAATTAAAATATGTACATATTATATTATATAATAAAGTGTTACAAATTTAAAAGTGCAAAAATTTATTACTTAAAATTAATATTGCAAATAATAATAAAACTATTAATATTTGATTTTTTAAAACAATTTTTTTTTGTTTAAATCTGTGTGTGTGTGTAGAAATATTTTTTTCTTCCATGCTCACAATTTATTGATTTAATGCATGTTTTAATAAACCGGTGACGTATATTTGTGTAAAACTAATTTTCTACCTGATAATTAGAAATGGTGACGACTAAGGCAAGATCGGCGAGAGTTAGAGTTTTTCCTGCCACATAATTTTCCCCTTCTAGGAATTTATCCAAGAAAGATAAGGCATCGTTCATTTTATCGTATTTTGCTTGCTCCGGAGTGACGCCGGTAACTGCCAGTTGATGCTGTAATTAATGTTTATTATACCTATATAGTCATCGATTTTGTTAACCATTACATATTATGAAATATATGGTCCAAGGATAACTTACAAAATAATTGGTAAAAGATTGATTCAGAGTTCCCAAGTCAAAATATAGTCTCTGATCAACCAATGCTCGTTTCTTTGGATCTTTTGGGTAAAGAGAATCGTTCTTATTATACTGATTAGCCAGGTAAGTCATAATAGCGCGGCTGCAAATTAATGTGAGCACGTGAATAATAAATGTTATAATAATAATAATTAACTAACGCTAATTTTACTAAAGAATTTGTATACGACTTTGTAAATCTGAAAAAATGCGTAAATCTAAATTAGTTTTAAGCAAATTTAAGATCTAACACCATGGGAATCTGATATCAAATAAATTAAACTATAACAAAATATAAGTCGTTAATTATTACAGAGAAAGTATATTTATTTTATATGTAAAAATGTCAATGACATTCACTAAATGTTAAGATAAAAAAAATTAAGAAATAAATACCTTTCCCATAAATGTAGGCCATTGTCATCCAATGTAGGCACCATATGTTGTGGATTCATCTATAAACAAAATATATAACAAAATAATTATTTTTAATTATTTTGAAATTTAAAGTATATTTCTATTCGACAAATTAATTATAAGAACTTACAAAACAGAAAGGATCTGCCTTTTTTTATATTTAAAGGAACAGTTTTTAAAGAAAACATGTTTGGATAATTTGCAGTTTTAATTGTACATTACTGTATCTGTATTTTTAGTATTAACATATCGATGTTATTGGAAAGAAAATTTATATACAAAAAATTAGTATGAAAAAAAAATAACATTAAATGTAAACAGAATGTTTAAAGTTTTCGTTATAATAAACATTTTGATATTTACATAAAATGATTTTTTTACTTTTAATATTAATTGGTTTTAACCCTCGGTACCTACAAAAGGTTAGCATAACTCTCCCCGATTTTCATAGATCTTTTTCTGATCCCTTTTCACTTATTGCAAAATATTTTTTGTGCTACGACATTTTAAACTTTCTAACTAAAAAATTCTTTTTTTCAGTCTTCAAACGATAAAGTAAAACAAAATTAGTTAAAATCGATGCACTACAATCTGCGATATAAGCAAAAAAAAAACGCTGGGTTACAAATATCCGGATGTGGGTAGATAGAGACTTTTTTGAGATGCGGGATGCGGGTACTGAGGGTTAATATTCCCGATATTTTTAATATCAGGAATATTAAAAACAGTAGTACGTTATACACACAAATAAATATTGCGCAACATAAACATTACTATCTATGTATTTAAAAAAAATGCTTAAGCAATTTGCAATTGAAACTCTAGGAGAGTTGTTAAAAAACTGTTAATTAAAGAACACTATTATAAAATTTTAAGTAAGTTATTTTTAGAAAAAAAATTATAAATACTACATATTTTTGCGTCTTTGATATTGTTACGTCTTGCGAAAATGTGAAAAATCTTTCATGTGATAAGGCAAGAGAAAACAAATAAAACATGATTTTTGTCAGATTTGTTTGGCCATTAGCAATAAAATTTGACACCAACGCGTGTTATAAGATTTGAAATCTTGAAAGGAAATTGGTAATAAAAGCAAATATTGCCTAAACATGTAACAAATATGTAATTGTCTTCCTAATGAATGTGGAGTTTCGACGCGGGTCTACAATTTTTGTAAAATTCTGTCAATAAATGCACGGTTTCCATTGTTCTGTATAAAGCTCTATTTAGGGTACTCAGTTCTGAGAGACAATGGAGACGTTGAGTGGCGTCGCGTGGCTTCATACGTTGCATGGTCGTCTGATAGTTGAGTTCCGGTTTCAATCCTAGCTTTCGCTCCACACTATGTTTCATTAAGAGGTCGGTATTTTTCCGTGAATTAAGAAATGATAATTCCATACGCGCGCGCGGATTAAGAACATTGTGTTCTAATACCTTTTATGAATAAATTTAATATTAAGGCATCAAGAGAGCTTTCTTGAGGAGGCTTCTGCTATAACTCAATTTCAATAAAGCGGATACTGTGTGACCTTTAAAATATATAAAGTGAGAAATCTAAATAGAGGCAATAGAGGAAGAAGAAAAATCAAATTTGCTGATGTATTCTTGATGAATATCAAGAGAAATTAAATTAAATCTCGAATAACGGAGCAATTGAAACAAATCATAAATCGGTCAAACTTTAATGGACATTTGAGTTCCATCGGTTGGTAGAATCCATAAATTCAGAGCGAATGCTAAGTATATCTGGAATGGACAAAACAGGTGAGCGCGCAAACTTCAAGAGAAAACTCTAGCTAAAAAATACGAACAGGTTAGATTTAGTTATCACTTTCTGTTCTTTTGCTCTGCAGGTCCGAATCCTCCAGTTGATATAGGATTTCTTTCTGGTGAACTTTCTAGTGAACGATTTCTCCTCTTGTTTTCGCGTTTGACTATGCTACCTTCCGCCGAACAGAATTCACCCTCTTCATCCACTTTAACTGAATGAATATTTTCCGATTCTCCTCCTTCTGTCTCTTCTATTTCCCCATCATCGTATACTTCTGTTTACTTCTCTGAACAACTTCACGCCCTCTTCTTCACGTATTTCACAACTTCGGAGGTAAAATTTGTGGGAAAAATTCCTGTCTCTTCTTCTTTCCCTAGATATTATAACTTTGGACAACATAATTCACTAGAATCACAAATATCTCAATTTCAATTAATTATCTCGTTATCCCTCGATACTTATGCGATCGATACCTGACAATTTCGACATCGATAAAATTTGATCTATTGTTTCTGGACAAGACTTTGATGTCAAAATTTTTATTTTTCTCTTTCTCTTTTTTTTTCATTATTTAATTCCCCTAGTATTTTTTTTTATTTTTCTTCTTTTATCTCGGCTACAATTGAGGAAACAGATTCATTATATTTAATTCTTTCTCTGCTCCTATGAATTTATACTACATATTTATACATTTATTTTATTTGATTATTAATTATTCACAAAAATTATAATATATATGTTATTCGGCAATGTTAACATAAATTGACAATTTCATTACTAAATCTTAGACGTTAAGTAACGCTATTTTTATTTATTTAAGTCAAAGTCCTTACTCTTAATTCCTTGCCTTATAAAGATCATAGATAAGATCCAATCACAGATTATTAGAATTAAATCCTTTGAAAATAAGATCGACAATCGCCCTGTTTCACAAAAAAGATGCTAAAAAATTTTTTCGAGGACGTTGGTCTATATTCGAAAGTCACAAAAGCTATATTTGACTCGTAACACTCTCCTATGTACCTGCAGGGTCTCTCTAACCCGCATTCTTTCATATCCCCTTCATCTCAGTCTTTTCTCTTTTAAAATAAACGTAAATGAATCCTGGCTTAAACGTACAATATAAAGACGTAACAATATAAAGATAATTTAATTTATTCATTTGCACTTATATGCTTATATGCTTCATTTTTTACAAAATTACAAGTCACCTTAATAAATTCTGGTTTCAGGTGTTCTCCGGTCTTGAGGTTCACGTTCTTTAGGTTTAAATCCACTCCTATGGCCGCCGCTGCCAAGCGCACAGCCCGACATGGCGAACTTCCGGTAAGTTGGTAAAGATCGATGGGCATTTTGAAATCTGCGAAAACGCGCGACGCTCTATTAATGAAGTGGCCAATGTGATCGATCGCACGTCAGGCATTCTAGAGTATTTGAGCGGCGCGAAACTATTTTCAATGAAACGTACTTTTCGTATTTAAAGGAGCAACTAATTATTCACGCGTGATTAAAAAACAGAAAGAAATGAAGAAGAGTAATCGAAACATCAGATGACACAATTTGATTAGACGATATTATCTCAAACCAATTCAAATGTGAGATACATAAATTTGCGTTATTAATTAGTCAAAAGAAAACTTGTCAATTAGAGGCTATAAGTTATATTGAACAGGTGTACTATAGCTTTACACATTCAATTATGCATTAACTGAGTGGACGTGGAAAATGATTCCGCAGGTTTCCTTCCACGTTCATAAATTATCACATAACGAGGAACGATTCAAGCACTCGCCGAATTCTACGTATATTACAAAGTCGATCTCGCGCATCATAAATCACAAATATTCACAATTATTTAAGTAGTCTTGTCACTTTAGCAGTTTTGACGAATTATTTGTAATAGGAGACAGGTGAAGAGAAATGGAGATGAAAAATCATATTAGACCGAACCTGCAGATTGTATTCTCTGGAGACGAGTAGCGAGATTATGGCAGACTGTGTAACCAACTTGTCTGAGGTATTTATAAAGCTCGTGTAACGCGAAACAACCTGTGTATTGCACGCACGCGAGAGTGAGATCGATTATGCGTCGAGGGTTCTCAATACTTGTTAGTAGTCGGGGATATTGCCACCTTCTGTCGTGACTTCCTTGATCCCAAAATGTTTTATTTATATAATAGCGATAAAAATTCTCTTACAAGCAATGACATTATCATTACATTTAATTTTTATAAATTTGTTATTTACTCAGTGCTTTAGTATTGAAATACTAATAATTACATTCGTAAAATATCTATTTGCAAAATTGTGTTAAATTGTTTTTAAAAAGGAACACTGCTGACAAATTGGGAAGATTGGTTCTATTTGGGAAGAACTCTGATATACATTATTAAAACCTTGCATGTTCGGGTATTCGTGAACTTGATTAAACTATAATTTGATTTGCGATTCAATCAGCATTTTTGATGTACATACTCGTACAATATTAGTCTTTTATTGGCTTTTACCGGCGTCAATTAGTTTTCAGTATATGATTCAGTATCGATGATTCGTCGCTGTATAAAAAAAATTTGCAAATCATTCTTCTTTACACATTATGAGGAAACTTTAACGTTCTAGCACTGCCATTATCAGGACTGATTCAGCAAGATTTGTATCGGCAGTGGAAAAAAATAATAATCTCCTTTCCACATGCCTACCTCTCCCCTCCATTCAGTAATACAATATCAGCTTCTTAACGTACATCTTATTCCTCGCAAATAATAATTATAAATAAAATAGTTTTAATAACAAGGAATTTTCCTTTTAAAACTTTTAGCATTTAATTTTAAGAACATTAACTTAACTATTTAGTTAAAGCCTTTAGAAGACAGAGATAATTATAGTTGGACAAGAATTTTCTGTATTACAAAGTCTGCAGTAAGTTTACGAAACAATAGCGGAATACTATTATACAAACACACTTATTTCGATTCTTGTGAGGCAAATGTATCGTCACTTATACTCCAGCAATCCAAGAAAAACGACATTTTAAGTAAAAGTATTCGGGGAAGATAGCATGTACGTGATCCGCGAGAAATATTGTACATATATATATAAAATTTCGCGCGAAGGCCGCTCAGCTCTGTTCAAGCGCAACACGAGTAGTGTTGCGAATGGCAGACTAGAAGATTAATTCTCCATAATTTCTAAAGCAATTTAATATCTGCCAAGAAGTTTAAATGATATATAATTAAATTGCTTTAGGAATTATGGTGCCTCACAGCACATTATTTTTTGTTGTAGCCGAATTGTTAACGCGACTATAAGCTTAACCATCGTAAGTACGAATTTAGACACAAACAGCATATGCTGTATAAGTTGATTTGATAGGAAGAGAAAATTGCGTCAATTTTAAATGGAAACAACGAAATTGTCTCAAGCGACCGAGAAATAAACAGATTCTTATGAGACGGAAACTGCTTGAGGGCGGAACGTTGACATCTTTCCAATCGTGCAAACGCAAAATCAGACTGGACTAAAATAAAGATATACATTCATCACTCAACAGAAGTTTCATTTCTATTTTCTGACCATCCGATCCTTGTACCAGTGGCTATACTTCTAAAAGTTACATAAATTTCACAGTCGTCTATTTATACGGAATTCCATTTTCTGGAGAAACCAACGGTAGACAACCACTTGAAAGCAAGTGAAAGTATTGGTTCAAGTATCTGTGTAGTCATGACTCTCAAGGTTTCACCTTCCTACATAAACGCACATTTGATAAATTGCGCGTATCATCATGCGGATGTAAAGAACGAGAACGATGTATTTCGATAGCACGCTGTTAGTAACAAGAGCGGAAACAAGAGCTACGTAGGCGAAAGTAAATGTAAAAAAGAAAATCAGTAATTTTAATGGCCAAATATGATTCTCTTGAGAAATTAGCGATGGAAGATATCAGCTTTTCTAACAATAAGTTACAATAGCAAACTCTTTTCTCCCTCCTTTTTCATTTCCTCTACTTCTTTATTTAATTTCAAACAACTTTACGTTTGTCCTAAATGATGTTTATTTGAGAGTTGGGTACTGGATACTTCGGTTTGTGTATTAAAAAGATGGGTTCCTCCTAACTTAATATTTGCTAAAGAAAAATACTGCAGGTAATCCGCAACTGAATGGAGCACCCGGACGCTCTATGCATGCGCATAGATATGTGTGTGTCATATGTGCACGCGCTCCAGTATGTCGTATTCAATTTTATTTTTCCATTTATACACTATGACGTTTTAACCTTTGTGTACGCCTATAAATTGTACACTAACACGCTTTTATGTTTCATGACTCTTTTGCGAATGAATAATTGTCAGTTGAAACGCCAAAATTTTGCTTTTTTCAAACGTTCAATCAAACCTTTCGCTTTTTAAAAATAAAATATTACTTATTTTACTCAGAATTGTATAAAATACAGTAACACTGAAATTTGTATAATCTTCGTTCTACAATAATTCTATGTAATTTCTTGATACATCAGATATGATGATAGTTCGAATAGAATAATACAATTTTAATATATATGTACGTGTACATATAGCATTAATATACAATGCTGTAATTGTTATAATTATCATCTGCGGAAGGTATATAGAAGTTAGGTGTGATTCTATGTAAATTTACAAAACAAAAGGAGTCTCGATTATTTCGATGCTAACTATAGTCAGCGACAAATGACCTAACGTAATCGATTGTTACATAAGTAATTATTGTGAAACTGTGGCACATTCTTTTCTATAACTACACAGAATTAACGTCGTTTCCATGCAAATATGCAACATACAAGATGTTAAGATACAATATATGTATAAGTAATAAATACAAAAGCTAATTTCGAATTAACATTTGCTCGGAATTCAAGAGACACATCTTGATCAAAAACGGATGGACGGTTTTAATCGTTCGCGGTTGACCACCTAACAACTTCTCCGGAAAATGCGAGAAGCATTATAGCATAAGTAGCTCTATCGAATTATTAGCTAGTTGCGGTTCGGTCGCACGTTTCAACTTTTAACACAATTATACTTGGAAATTGTCTACAAAGCAAATTAATTCTTCGCGAAACTAACTAACATAAAGCGATTAAGTTAAGGTCGATAGGTTATCGCATAAGCGGTTAGATCAGATTCATTTGTTAAATTTTCTCTCACCTACAGCATTAAAATTATTATACATATACATATATGTATATTATATATAGCTTTGCGATGTTAGTTTTCTATTGCATGTAAAAATATTGAGAAGAATTGAGATTTATGCAACAGAAATATATTTTTATTAAAAAAATATATTTACATTTTGTGGGTGCATAGATGTAAAAGAATAAAATTTCTAGGAAGCTTATTTCTTTTCTAATTTTTTATAAGAAAAAACCTAGAATCACCTCCTATAGATCGTTCTTCTAAGCACCAGTTAAAGTTAAGTGGATTTTAACGGCCATAGTTCTCGTAACATAAAATATGTGTGCGTGTTCTTAAGTCTGCCACTGCAAGTTAAGTAAAAAATATAATTTATTTTTGAAAAAGTTTTTTCGTATAGTTATCTATTAATTAATATATATTTTTGAAATATACTTTATGCACATGTATATACGTAATATAATATATGTATAATAGTATTTATATTGTATAAAATTTGAAACTATTATAATAATTACAAGATTAGTTATACATATATAAATATAAATATACGATATACATGTAAAGTATTACTATATATATAATAAAACAACATTTTTTATATATATCCCTATAAATTATAATAATTAAATAATATAATAACTACATATATTACTCCAATGAAGACTTAATATCGTTTATACATTTAATGAATTAAAAATATCTGATTATCAATGAGGATAAGTAAAATTGCTTTGTCATGTATCGACAAATGCGGCAACAGCTTCTTGCCATCTTAGAATGGATTAGATTCTATTTAATTGTAAAATGCATTCTCGTTTCGTTACCGTCATACTGCTTATTCACTGGTTGTTACGTAATTGTTTGTGATAATAGAGAAGAGGCAACCATACATGTTCATACTCAATATCAGGCAGTATCAACGGAGGTAAACGATTAAACGATTATACATGCAAAATACATTAGTCTGCGAGAATATCTGAAATCGTCAAAGTAATCAAATAATATAAAGCGCAAAATAATTGAATTGAATATAAAATAAATAAAGAAAGAACTTATTTTATAATAAAAAATATTTATATTAAAATTATACTTTACAGTTTACGTATCATCGCTATATGCAGCGCTTACTCTCTAAATTTGAATCAGTGGATAGTCACTAATTACCCAGTGGCATACTTAGCACTGATAATCAGTGAAATTCAACTAAAAAAGAAAGAATGTTTGAGCATTATATAACTAAAATACTGACATTTGCACATTAATTTCAATCTTCCAATACCGTATTCATTGAATTTAAGCACTAAAACAAGGTTAGATCACATAATAAAGATTAGCTAGGTTAGAGATTTCATATTTAATTCACTGATTACCAATGGCATACTTGGCACTGAAATCAGTGATTATTCATTGATTCAGATTTAGAGAGTATATAATTATATTTTATATAGCAGTATTACAAAAATAATGCATACGAAATATAACTTTTTATAAGTTATTATTTCTTTTTAACATAATATATATGTACATTTTATAAATTTTCTTGTACATAAGATATTTCGTTTACATTTCAACAAATTTTTAACCGATCGACCAATATGTCAAGAACGAGTTGTGCCAAAAGCTGATTTACTCAACCTTTTTTAAATCGTTGAATTTTAATAAAATAAACTCTCTCTCACCTCGTCTTGTCAACTTTAAAGACATGTTAAATATATGATAAATAATTTTTATATAATTATATATAAAATTTTTTT